ATATTTATAATAACTTTAGTCACATTTTTATCCATTAAAATTTATTTCGTAACATTTTTAAAACACCTATATTATTTATTTTTATTCATCTTAATTAAAATATTATGATAATTGTCTTCTTTGGATTTGAATTCTTGATGATTTTGGAGACTAATATTTGTGTTATTATTTGCGGTTTGTACTTTTTATTATTTTATTTGAAAATAAATTTTATAATATAGGAAAAATTGATAGTAATAATCCCAACTATTGGCGGTCCGCCAATAATAATCTCAACTATGGATTACTACAGAATAATCCCAACTTTAGGGACCTTCCGCCAATAATGGTCCCTATAAATAAATTCTTGTAGTTTCTAAAGTGGATGAAAAGAGATATAACAAACAATCCCCATAAATAATCTCAACTTTTAATTTTTACTCTTAATTTCTATTTAAAATTCACTTTTTGTAGGAGGTAATATCTGGTCATGGACCATTATTGGCGGACGGTCCATATAGTTGGGATTATACAAAAATAATCAATAGTTGGGATTATTATCAGCAGACCGGTAATAGTTGGGATTATTATTTTCAATTTTTCCTATAATATAAAAGAAGAATGAGATGATTTCACATTCGGGCTTTAACCGGCCCAACCTGAACCCGGACCGAACCCGGACTACAAAAAACCCGACTGGGACCGAATATACTGGGCTTTGTTTCGGTACCTAATTTTCATAACTCGCGACCTTACGGGTAATTTCCGGGTTTAACAAAAATCCGACCCGGACCGGACCGATCCCACCCCTAGTTTTAAGGGTCTAGAAAATAACGTCACTTAAAATTTAAAAAATTATATATTCATTTTTTCTTTTTTTTTACGTGTTACTACACAGTTATTTCACAAAAATCAATAAATATAAGGGAAAATCACACTTTTAGACGTTTTAGTCTCTGAAATAGTCATCATATTGAAATGTCAGACTCGTGTTCTCTAGTTTATAAATGTCACCCCTCAATTGTCCAAATTGTTGTAAATGTGGTTCTTTAAGGGGTGAAATGTACAATGTGTGCGGGGAGTACATTTCACCCCTCAAAGGACCACATTTACAGCAATTTGGAAAATTGAGGGGTGACATTTACAATCTCAGAAATTTGGGTTAGACATTTAAACATGAAGACTACTTGAAGGACTAAAAATACGATTTTCCCTAAATATAAATCTGCAACCACGTCACATAAATTAGTCAAAGTTGACTGACACGTGAAATAAGAAAATAAAAAAGATGTGATTTAGATTTATATAGAGTGATTAAGATTTAACATAGATTTGTTACTTGGAAGGTAAATTGAAGATATTTTGTGACAACCAAATAGAAAAATGGAAAAATTATCCTTTTCATGTAACAAATAAGCCACAAGTACATACGTAGTGTACTACTTGGTATTTAGGATGTGTAGTTGTAAAGCTAGGCGACACAATTAAGAATTAACTATGCAAACTTTTTTGGACACACCCTATGCACATAGCGGACTCTTTTTGCTTGTAAATAGGTGTTCACATACAAAACAATTTTTTTCCATTAGGAATGTAGTAGTGCTTGGATGGATTGAGATCCTCTACCGTACGACAGAGGTGTCTTGAGGCAACGGACGGACGGATGACGAAGAAGACCCCTCAAGATGCGGACCATGCGGTCCTCCAAAATTTGACTGTTGATTTTTTGATCGAACGGTTCTAATAGGCCGGGCACCCTACCTTGCTGCAAAGCAATGCGGAGGTTCCAGATCCGTGCTTGGATGTATCTCAAAAATGGTTAATTGCTCTATATCATATACTCCATACTACTTAGTTTTGTATGCTTGTCAACTTTATATACACTAACCTTTTTATCAAACATATATCACATTCATTCTTGTTTAGTTGCAACATTGATGAATTTTATACGTAGTATTTTATTTACATGCTCTATTTTGGCTACATTTTATTTATTAATGTATTATAATTTAATTTTTGACAAAGTCTATCTGTTAAATTCTTCTCAACCGGATTCACAAAAAAAAACTTCACAAACATGGGTGGAAATAAAGTGGTATAAGGGTGAGTACATGAAGCATTGTTGTATAAAGGGAGAACTATCAAATAAGCTCTCAAACTTTCATAAAAAATGCAAATAAGCCCTTTTACAGGAGACTTTGTCCGACTGTCGCCATTTGGGGCGATTTCCGATGGAATTTTTAATGAAATTTTTTGAGCATCTTCTTCATTAAGTTTAGTTTACTCATACCAAATTTCAGCTAAAATTCAATCGAGAAGTCAGTCAAATGATTTTCTGAAATATACTGCGCTGCCTAATTGCACAGTTATCTTCAAAAATTCATTTGACTGTCTTCCCGATTGAATTTTTAGCTGAAATATGGTATGAGTAAACTAGACTTAATGAAGAAGATGCTAAAAAAATTCATCTAAAAATTCCACCGGAAACCGCCTCAAATGGTGACGGACGGACAGAACCTCTTATAAAAGGGCTTATTTGCACTTTTTATGAAAGTTCGCTGACTTATTTGGTAGTTCTCCCTTGTATAAATTAAGTGTTGTGGCACGGAATACTTAATCTGTACCAAACTTGTTACGGAGTTAAGCACACATATTCATGACAAGATTACAATTAAGAAATAAAAATAATCTAATGTTGTGGACTTGTGGTTCGTTATACACATCGAAAAATTAATTTCAAAAGGTATATACGAGATAAAATCACAATATAACTCCATAGGGACTGGATGGTCAATTCCACCTTCTCAGAGTCCATGGTATATCGTTTTAGTATTTATTTAGTCCATAGTTTATGAATTAAGTGGCTCCAAATATGCCACAAATGCATAAGACGAAACGCGTGAAAGAAATCACGGGCCTAATAGTTGGAACGTCTTATCACTCTAAATATGATTTTTATTAACGGTCCGTCTCACTAAGATTGTCTCATACCAAATTTGATAAAGTTTGTGAGACTTTAAATCATGCTTATTTTATTCTTACTTTATCAATTCAAAATCAACTACATAAATAACTTTTTATTAATTTACGTGTCACTCCCTCTTATCCCATTGTTAGCGTGACGGAGGGGGTACTTCCAAAAAAAGCTGACATTAAATGATCACTTAAAAAACTAAAATACTCGTACTGTACGGTATCACTCTATATATGAATTTTATTATATACGAATAATAAAATGACATTAAAATACTCGTACAAATCAATGTGACATTAAGAGCCATTTGGTGATTCTGTTTTTTCGACTAATCAAACTTATCAGCCAACTTTTTTAACAAAACACGTAATTTTTTATTTGACGTGCTAAATTGTGTAATAATAAAAAAATAAGGTTGAAATTACTTTTCTGGCTATATTGGTTGAAGTTACTGTAAATGATCATTTTAACTATTTATTCATATAATTTTTTATTTATTTAATTAGTTCAATATATTTTAAATCTTATTTATCTTTTTATGTTCTTACATTATTTTAATCTTCTAATTTTTTTATGCTCTTTTATCTTTTAATCTTTTATCTTTCTTATATATTCTTATGTTATTGTTATCTGATATTTTTTATCTTAATCTTATCTGTTTTATCATTTTTGTTCTTATGCTCCTTTTGGTATTGATATCATAAATCGTTTAATGTTGTTGTTGTTGTAGTTTAATATATTTTGAAATTAAGGCTTGGATGTTGTTGTTGTAGTTTAATATATTTTAATTATACTCCCTCCGTCCCTTAAAACTTTGTCATCTTTCCTTTTTGCCACTTTCCCTTTTAATCAATTATTTTATGGTTTCTGTTATTTCTTTCTCCTCTCCACAAACCTCAACCACACAGTTTTTACTTCATTATTCTTCGTGCCAGTCAATTTTGGCAAAGTTTTAAGGGACGGAGGTAGTAGTTTTTTGATAAATCAGCATTATCAGTCAATACAACCACTTCAGCTAGAACTTCATAAATTTCAGCAGAATCAGCCGATTCAACCGATTTCAATGTTACTAAGAGGCCGTTTGGTAACAATGTTTTTCAATTTATGAGGCTTGTCAGTCAACTTTTTCACCACACGTAACTTTTGTTTTCACACACTGAATTGTGTAATAATAAGAAAAAGTAAGGTTGAAGTTACTTTTCTGACTGTATTGGCTGAAGTTAATGTAGATAACCATTGTAGCTATTTTTACGTATATTTTTTTCGTTAATTTATTAATAAAATATATTTTAAAAATAATTTTTTTTAAATCATTAGAATCAGGCAATGCAACCACTTCAGTCAGAACTTAATAAATTTCAGCAGAATCAGCCGAATAAGCCGATTTTCGTGTTACCAAACAGACTCTAATTAGGCTCTAAATGACCGGCATTATATTGGTTGTTAAAATTTTAGTATACCAAAGTACATATGGCATTTGGTAATATTCATAATTTTGAAAGTTATGTACTGACTTACCAAAATATTTCATACTGTATTAGTACCGAGTTTATCAACATCCATGTATTTTCCACCTGAAAAAACACCATTATTTCATTTTGATACGGAGTACAATTTATACAAATAATTTATCTTCTCCTTTTTTGTTTTTGCTTGTTTTTAAAGCAAATAGATTGGTTGGACAGGCTTGCTTATCAAAAAGTGATCCAAAGTTGGATACATTTTTCAAACTTCAAATGTTAAAGCATTATTATTGTTCTCACACATATACTCTCTGAAAACTGCAGGTGCACATCCAGTGAGGCCAACCCATGCAGACAACTATAAAAAGAGAAAGATAATGTTTTTCCAATTAGAAAAAAGGGTGCTCTTTTAACCAATTAATACATCTGATTTTGATCTGAGCTAAGCCATGTGAGACTCCCATAAAGCTGGCCCCATTCTCTAATCACAACAGCATACCTTAACTGGCAAGAGGAAAGTGGAAACCCATCAGCCACCCCCCTATATAAATGAATCCCAACAACACTTTCTTTCCAACTCCCAGATCCATTCCAACATCTAACAAACACTCCACTCTCAAAACTCAAAAGAGCTCAGCCCAAACTTCCATTTCAAAGAAAACACAAAGAACAGAGGTTATATATATGGCTATCAGATTGCTCACAGCTCTTATGAATGCCAAGCAATTTCGCACTCTTTACCCACTGAGATCAAGAAACCATTCAGATGTTCCAAAGGGTCATTTTGCAATCTATGTTGGAGAGACTGAGAAAAAGAGATTTGTGGTGCCAATAACATACCTGAACCACCCTTCATTTCAGAGCTTGCTTAAGAGGGCAGAGGAAGAGTTTGGGTTTGACCATCCCATGGGAGGCCTCACAATTCCTTGCAAGGAAGATACTTTCATCCATCTCACATCTCAGCTCAGCAGCAAAACCAACACTTCATTACATTGAAGGAGCATCAGATGTTCAGATCTCATCACATTTTTTCCCCTATTTCTGATCTAGTCATCTTTGTATGATTTTTCCTCTTGGCAAATCAAGAGTTGTACATTGCAGATACCCAACATAGAGAGTAATGAAATCTTCAACTTTTATGTATCTAATTTTTGGAACTATCTCAAGATCAGATCATATATGGGATTATATGGGATTTAGACGGGATCTCTCAAGTAAGAGTAGGATCTGCATATGTTTCTGAAATTCTATCTGAGTTGAATTAGTTGAATCTATACAATTAAGGGAAAACAAAATGAAGTAAATTTTATTAATAAAATAAATAAGTTATATGTAATAGAATATTAATTTAGCCTTGTCTTAACTATTACACATTTCGGTGTATGAAATGAAAAGTTCAGTGCAAGAAAACTAGGTTAAATCACATAGTGGATAAAGTGTCTAAATTGATTGTAAAGGTTCTCCCTTCAAATGTGGATAACACAGAGTCATGTGGATAAGAAAAGTACTACTTCCACAGACCACAGTTGAGCAGTTCCGCCAAAATAAATCCTACTTTGAATGCGCACTCCTATTAATAAAATAAAAATGTACAATTGTGACTTGTGATCGAGTAAAAAAGGTTAAAAGTAATAACCACACACAAATTACTATTATTATACCCTAAAGGAACAAGATTTATTTTTGGGACTTACAAAAAATAACTGAGAAGATTAATATGGGACGGTGTGAATATCTACTTTTGTTTTAAAATACAACTCATTCGGTCTTTAAAAGGAAATAAAAGTAGTTAACAATCCTTTACCAAGACTAGTCCTGTTTAAGGATTCTTTTCCTAGATTGTTTTTAGTTTTATCATCTCACACTTGTTCTTTACCAAGCATGGTTTCAAAGGATAAATGAGTATATGTAATATGTAATATGTCCATGTTCTTATATATGAACAGTTGAACACAATCAATGAAGAAAGAACAGGTGATCTTAAATAGGGAACGATAATGATATTTAATACCAAATTTTTTATCTTGATAACAGATCTTGTACGGGAAATTTCCCCAAATAGACGTAAGCAGATTTTGAAATTCCAAAATAGGACTGTTATGTTTTTCATCACGAAATAGGAGAAAAATGACCGTATTTACTCTCATCTTGTAATCATTATTCATTACTGCCAAATAGTTGCAGTACAAGACATTTAACATGACAATATTTTTCAATCATGTCAATATTGACTTTTATTTCGGGAAGAAAAACATAATAGTCCTATTTTGAAATTCCAAAACTTATTTACTCCTATTTAAGACAATTTCCCATCTTCAATTCAAGGGGCCTCACATGCCATTTTAAGGCTATTTGTATCCATTTTTTACACAAAGATTATCTCTGGCTATTTGTATATATACAGTGTCTAAAAAATGTCGATATGTATCCATGTAGTGTCTAAAAACTTAAGTATAAACTCTGTCTATATCAAGACAATGTATAGATTTCGTCAATAATGTTTTTCCTCGCATTCCAGCAGCATCAACAATTCAATAAAACATCAATTAAATCATTATATGTAATGTTTTTTGTTATTTTTTTCTGAATAATTATGGAAATAAAAAATACACATTTTGATATTGAAAATAAAAGAAATTATTTTTTATTTTACCTTTTTCGGTTTTAATAAATATAAAGTGAATTCATGTAAAGTTCAATTATTTGTGGAGATGTATCATGGATTAAAAATTTGGGTTTCGTGTTTTTGTGGGATTAAAAACTCTGACATGATATTTCAATTTTTTTGTAATATATATATATATATGCAATATTTGTGTCATATGAAAGATCATAAAAAATTTGGTGTAAATATTAAAAAGTTATAACTCTTTTAAAAAAGAGGATTTTTACATGTGGATGTCATCAGCATTAACCCATCTGAGTAACAGCAAGCTACCATACTTTTTTTATTTTTCCTTTTCTTTTGGGATGTCATTTTTGAAGTTTTCTGATCAGATCTGAATTTTTTTTATTTGATTTGAATCTTTCTGAGCTGATCTGAATAAAATAAGAATAAACATTGAGTAATAAGAATAAGATGAACAGAACAACTTACAGCTCCACATTTAACTTTTGAAACTTCTAAAACTCTTGCACTACAAATGGTCTAATGGGTTCTGTGACTCTCAAATCCCAATGCAAACTACAAATGGTCTAATGGTTCGGTGACTCAAATTCCCAACACAAGAAGTTTCTTAATTCTCCCATTATAGCAGTGGCGGAACCAAAACTTTTTTTGAGGGGTGCTCAGAAGTATAAGAGTATAAAACTCAACGCTTACAAATTATAGACTATCCACTCGATATTAGGAATTTTAACATACTTTACCTAATAAATTATAGAAGTATACAACAATAAATTCATATAATAGTTAGCCTTGATTTATTTTTAATCACTAGATTCACTAATAAATAAATAAATAACTTCATCGGGACAACACATTACACATGACACATATTCGGATATTTACATAATAAATTAATAAGGTAATTTCTTTAACAAATACCGAGTAACAAATTAAAAGAATAATAATTCCGGATGTTCCGGTATTAAATAACAGAGTAAGACCACTTCAACAACAAATTACAATTCACACATGAATTATCGAATTGGTTAAATTACTAGAAGAAAAGTAGAAATTACCTTCTCACAAACTTGAAGCTCACCGCTTCTCAAGTTCTCCGCTTTAGTGTTCAACAAATGCACAGGCGGCAAGTCTTCAATTTTACAGGCTTCCAGTAATCAAGTCCCAGCCTCTTCCATAGTTCCAGACTTCAAGCGACGGATACAATGAGGTAAGAAGTGCACTGGCGGCGGAATATCAGTTTCCTCGTTTTCTCCTCGGCCTCTTCCATTTTTAGACTGAGCAAATTGAAAGTTATTAACCTAGGACGTTAATGTAAATTGAATGTCTTATATTTACTCAAATTATTTTAACTGGGTGTCGTTTAGTGTAAATATGACGTCGTTTTATTTCAATGCTTTCTCCTTTTTAACTTATAGAAACCATGTTGTTCAATTTGAATGTTGTTTTAAATAGAGATGACAATTGTGACAGAACTGATGGATATCCGCATCAAATCGCTTCGGTCAAAACGGGGAAAACCATATTGACCGGGTAATGCATATTGGCAAGGGCGGATGTACAGCCAAACTAGGGGGGCAGCTGCCCCCAATAAAGGCTCAATAATACCTTATATTACTCTATGATTCATTAGGAAAAAAAATGTAATCCACATAATTGCCCCCAATAAAAATAAATGAAATGCCCCCATATAGCTAAGGCCCACCCAAGTCTTGCACGCTAGAGTCAGCCTAATGACCTAATCGGTTAAAAGGAGAGTTTAATTACTTAAATCCCTAAAATAAGAATTAGAGTATTGTATAACTTGTATTTCAGTATGTGTCAATGTGTAGTCGGGTACGTAGATTTTATCTCCAAGCCTTTATAGTCATTTTTAATATTGTACTAGTAAATTAACAATATAATAAATCATCTCAATTTCAAAAAATTCAGTACAATAATTTCAGTAAGTTAAATTAGCAATCTAATGTTAAAAGTAGTTATAAATAGCTAATAAATAGCAGGATTTAAGAATTAAGATAGCTAATTGCAGGATTTAAGATTAAAATATGTAATGATTAAACTGCAATAGAATCGGTGAGATGCTTTTCTGCTTAAAAATAGTGAAAACTAATTTGCATAATAGAATCAGTGATTAGTTCTCGAGTGTTCATATAGTTTATTTTATAGAAAGAGACGTATTTGAAACAATCACAAATAAAACTGTAATATTTCAAGAAAGTGAAAACTCGAATAGAACAGTCGTGGTTTACTTTATTATGTAATAGTTTGTTGATATAGTAATATATTGCGTACTTTATTTAGTTTCAAAGTTCTCGTGTACTTTATTACTCCCTCCGTCCCGCTAACAATGGGACAAGAGGGAGTGACATACAAATTAATAAAAAGTTATTTATGTGGTTGATATTGAATTGATGAGGTAAGAATAAGTAAGAATGATTTAGAGCCACACAAATTTAACCAAATTTGGTATGGAACAATTTTAGTGGAACGGACCGATAAGGTAAAATAAGATAATCAGAGCGGGATGGAGGTACTACAATTTTTCGCTATTCATAGTAATATTATTTAATCTTCTTTTATTCATGTACTTCATTCCTATTTTGCCCCCAATACTTTTAATTTCTGGATCCGCCACTGCATATTGGGCAGAGAATATCCGTTTTGTTTTTACAAGTAATGGGGCAGTTACGATTTTATACATGTTCGCCCCATTATCCGTCCCATACCCGCCCCGTTTATGTGTAGTTATATTTTTATTACTCCGTATATTTTTATCTATTATTTGTCTCACAACTATTAAAAGATTATATTTTTTTCTTACCATTGTGTATATAAAGATAATAGATGTACCAACTGTAATGTATAAATGGAAGTTCATAATAGATTTTAATAGTCTTGTTTGATTACTATCATATTTTTTCGTGATTAATTATTTTTAGATTAAGAGGTCGTTTGGCAACACTGTTTTTCGGCTTATCAGGCTTATCAGCCAACTTTTTCACCAAACACGTAACTTTTGCTTTCACGTGTTGAATTGTGTAATAAGCAGAAAAAGTAAGGTTGAAGTTACTTTTCTGGATGTATTGACTGAAGTTACTGTAGATGACCATTTTAGCTATTTTTACATATAATTTTTTCATTGTTTTATTAATAAAATATATTTTAAAAATAATTTTTTTCTTGAATCAGTAGAATTAGCCAATGCAGCCACTTCAGAGAAAACTTTATAAATTTCAATCAAATCAGCCGATTTTCGTGCTACCAAACGGGCTCTAAGTATTTTTAGGTTCAAATTAATTTAAGTTGCTTCATTTCTCGTCTTGTAGATATACGAATCTTTAAAGTGGCATCTGAAGTGTAGAGTGATCTAGGTGATGTCATTCTTCGCCTTCTAAAATACGAATATTATTTTTTATATCAAAATTTAATGACTCAATTAATAAAGCGGTTACCCGCGGTCAACTGAAATTTTACCTGTTACCCATTGGGGTGGTTATGGTTTGGGTAAAAATTACCCGTTGGGTAATGGGGCGGTTACGGGGCGGGGAAATTACCCAACAGGGCGGTTACGATTTTATGTAAAACCGTCCCCGATCCGTCCCGTTGTCATCCCTAGTTTTAAAACCTTTTAGTTTAAAGGAACAGTGACAAAGTTGGTGATAGAACAAAAAAAACAGTTTAAAGGAACAGTGACAAAATTTTAAGGGACACACGACTCCTTTCATGATCTCTTTCCTTTCATTTTTGTTTCTATAATTTTATTTCATTTTCTTTATCCTTTCCTTTTCTTTTGTTTTTTTCTCCTCTATTGTTAGTTGCACATATCCATAGGATTTCCAATGAAATCACTACACGCATACACAACATTTTTACCATATCATCTAATTCTAAACCAAATAACCAATACATTTAGAAAGAGAAAAACCTCAACCGATAAAATCTGCATTCCACCATACCCATTCAATTTTTGCCATAAAATATATCCGCCAACCTCGTCAATGGAAGAGGGTGTGGCAAGAACAAAAACTAACGAAATTGTCTTGAATATGAGTAAAAAGATTTTGAAATTCAAATTTATGCTTTTCTTCCCGAAATTGAAAAATACTGCAATGTTAATATCTCGTACTGCAACTATTTTGACAGTAATAAATCCAAAATGACCGTAAATGCTGTCATTTTACTCCTATTTTGAAAAAACATAACATTCTTATTTTGAAATTTCAATATCTGTCTACTTCTACTTTCGAAACTCTCCCAAAAGTTAAATATGTTTTTCACAAAGTGGGTGCGGTAAAAAAAGAAATCCAAATAGCCAATATGCTTTTTGCAAGCCTCTGACTTAGGATTAGGTGAGGGAGCCTCTGATCTGGTCTGGAACCGAAAACAGTTCAGAAGAAAACATCCTAAAGCGTCCAAAAAGGTTGAATCCCCAACCCCAAGGCCCCCCCCACCCCGACCCGACAAGATGGTGGGGGAGTAAATCACGGTGACTCAGTCGGCAAAGCGGCAGTAGACCTTTACCCCGTGCGCACCAGAGGGTCAGCCTTATTTCAGGTTCTGAAAACCCCCTTTTGGCCGCTGCGGGATTCGAACCTTGGTCTACGTCCAATTTTTCCCACCGCTCGACCAACTGAGCTACCCGTGCGGGTAAAACATCCTAAAGCGGTGATATGGCGACGAGTGGTAAGAAGAACTAGAATGGTGTGGCAGTATTGTGGCGTTAATTTGGTAATGACACTTACCTGAAAATCAGAACAACTACTTACTAAAATGACAAATTAAGCATTTTTACAGAGCATTTCATTGAATGTTACTCTGTATGAGGGTCTTATTGTCATTTTAGATACACTATAAGGCAATTTTTTTAGTTTTCCCTTTTAATTTTTAAGCAGCAGAATACATTACATTCAGCATCGTTACCAGTCTACCACAGTACCACACTACACACTTGTTACATTCCATACTCATATCAAAAGTAAACCATACAACAAAGAATCCATTTTAGATCCGAGTGATTTCCCAGTTAAATCGCCTTAGGGTACAGCAAGACACTGTCTTTTAGACTTCAATCAGCAATTGTAAGATTCATGGCAGGCATTTTCAACCGGGAAATTATTTTCTACTGTACGGATAGATCGCCAGTACGAATTTTAAGTTGTTGATGGGTTATTCCTTTTCCCAGGCGAGTCCCAGAGAAGCTCAGACTTGTTGGTTCCCCACTGAAAGGAAATTCAACCTTGGGCTGCAACCACTTTCTCAAAGAAATGCCCTTAATTTGAATTTTACCAAGTGATCCACTCCCTAGGTAAGGTAGCCCAAGCCTCCTCAATAGTGCAGCGACTGCTTGGCTTATCCTGTTAATAGAATTCACAACATTCTCAAGTTTCTGATGACATATTCTAATTCTTTCGGATGACATGTTCTAATCACGGTTACTACTGTCTACAAGGGGTGCAAACAAGGCGATCCTAACTCAAAATAATTTTAGCATCTTAAGCAAGCTTAAAAGTTTTTAAAAAAGGCTCATGTCCGGCTTGTTAATTTTTACAAGGCTTGAGTTATGCTCAAAATGAGCTCAAGTTCAACTTCGAGCCAAGAATAATAATTTTTAGGTGACAACTCCGGTATCCATTTAAAAAATGGGGTATCGTACCTACCATTCACTTGATTGGTCCAAATAATTATATCATTTTTAATTTAGGTTTATATAATTCAACTGTAACATTATGATCATTCATGTGGACAAAGGTATCATAACTTAGAATCTACCTAATTTTTATATTCCAAAAGGATGACACATTGACACCCCATCCCTGAGGGCCCCTACCCTGACCTGACGGTACGTTGGGAGGATGTAAATTGGACTATAATCCCAATCTGACAGAGAGAGAGCGGGGCTCTGTGCCCGGTAGGCCCTATGCATTTTTAACATAGTAACCCCTCATCGTAATTGACGGGATTCAAACCCGGGACCTAACCTTTGTGGCACTCCCTTGCTACCAGTTGAGCTACGCCCACGAGTTAATTTTTATATTCCTTATATATGAAGGGGAGCTTTGACGCACCATCTAAGGTGTTGCTGTCGTGACTTGGATGCAGTCTCCTATCAAAAGAGAGGTAGGCTTCCTCCTACACATCTGTGTGGTGGGACCCTTCCCAAAACTCTTGTATTGCGGGCAGTGGCGTATCAACAGGGGGCAGGGGGCAGTTGCCTACTCTCAACCCCACCCAACCCCTACATATATACTAGTATATATAAATATATATACACACACAGATTGATAAATAATAGGTAAATATATATATACTAGCATATCAACAGGGGGCAGGGGGCAGGGGGGGCAGTTTTAAAGGTTAACTGATAAATAAATTTAAATCATCCATGCGAAGAGTTAAATTAGTTTTAATAGGTAAAACTTACATATTCGGAATTACATTCAAATTTCTATCAAGTCCCAAAATCCAGATTAGAATATAATAACAAATTGATATGCTAAATAAGTAAATAAAATCCAATTGTGTCAACAAAAAAAACTTTGTAAAACATTTTGAGACTGCGGGTGAAGTTACATCAACAATAAAAAATAATTCTGAAAAGGAACGTAAAGATTTTTTAGACGAAATGAAAAGTAAGTTACACCCTAATATTTTTCTAATAAGAGATGTTACTTATAGACTTATAATTATTTTTTAATTATTTTTGTAATATTGCTTTGGTTATGTAATTGATTACCTGTGAAATGTGTATGATAGAAATTTTTGGATACACACCGATTTTGGAGGTGCCATAGTGCGCACTAGTATAGGCTGCCATTTGTCTTTACTACTATACATATATACACACTGATTTATACTTCATCCGTCCCCAAATGAAGTTCCTAGTTTGACTCTAGAGTTTTTAGGTAAAATAGGAAATAAAGTTGGTTGTTCAAAAATGCCCATGGATAGTTAAACGGTGCAGTACCCAAATGGGTATAATAAAGGAGGTAATGAATAGTGAAATGAGGGTAACACACATCAATTCAATGAAGTGATGTGAGGTAAAAGGGTAAATGAATAATAAAAACTTATCAAATTAAGAAAGAAGTTGAAGTGAGAACTTTATTTTGGGACATCTCGAAAAGGAAAAGTGAAACTTCATTTCCGTACGGAGAGAGTATATTTTAAGTTGGGGTTTTTACATAAATATTACTATTTTAGAGTCAGTTTCCAAAAATATGACCACTTTTAAAAAAGGACAAAAATGTGACCATGAAGGTCATATATTTGGAAAAACATATGTCACTGCTAGATTTTAATGTCACTGATTTGATGTCACTTTTGTTTGTCACTGCTGATTTTCATGTCACTTTTGTATGTCACTTCCGCTGTCAAACGTGTCACTGTGTCGTTAACCACGTCACTGCCGCCAACGCACGTGTCACTGTCGCCGCCATCGCTCGTGTCACTACCACCACTGTCGCATGTCATCGTCGCTGGTCATAGTGACACCACAACTCCACAGTGACTTCTCCACCGCTGAAAACCATTGGCCACCTCCGCTCACCTCTGTGGGCCACGATTACACCACCACAGTGACATCTTTACAGTTACTATTTAGCATATTTAGCAGGGACACAATTACTTCGACCAGTGTTATTCCGGCAACCACCACAATCCCATTCCCACTGCGTCTCCCACACACCGATTACTTCCACTGCCCCTCCCCATCCCAACAACAGAAATCTCATCCCCAGCCCCAGCCCCCTCTAGCCCCGCCTCCCTAACCTGTCCTAGACCAACTCCTAAGCTTCAACTCCGACCAACCAAACCAGATCCAATCCTCCCCAACCCTGCTTCGACCAACCCAACTCAACCCCCGGATCTACACCTCCGCATCCTCGATCAACCGAACCGCATTTCCGCTGCTTAAAAGTCCCAACTCCTGCTGCAAATCCATCGCACCAAGCCACCGCCACTGTAGCCAAACTCTAGGCTAAAGGAATAAGGCTTAGGGATTCAACGATTTTAGGCGCACCTAGCCGCAAATCTGTCACACCAAGCTGCTGCCACCGTAGCCAAACAGAAATCAGCACAGGAGGGACGACGACAAGCGCGGAGCAAAGAAGCGGAGCTATTACGTATTGCGGACTCCTTATTATTAGGAATATTATTTATGTTATTCTTGTTTAGTTATTCAGTCCGTGTTGGACTTATTTAGCAAGATAGATTAATTTCAATAGGACTCTGTTTCGTTTTGGACCTATAAATGTATGGCTCGGCAGATATAATAAAGGGGAGATGGTTGGACAGTGATTTTCATGGTATCAGAGCCTGCGCTCAATTGAGCGTGAATACGACGGAAATATGTCCAATGAAAAAGATAGTAGCGATAGTGATGATGGCGACGCTGCTCCTAAGAAAATAGATTACACCTCGCCTTTCTTCCTCGGACCACAAGACCGACCCGGAGACTATATTACTCCGGTACGTCTTAATGGTGAAAATTACGATGAATGGGCCGGATCAGTTCGTTTAGCGCTGCGTGCACGACGTAAATTCGTGTTTGTTGATGGAACCATTCTCACATATGAAGATCAATGTACAGAAGATGATTGGATGACCATACATTCAATGCTCGTTTCTTGGTTGATGAACGTGATTACACCAGATGTTCGACGCACACTTTCTCAGTACGAGGATGCCAAGCTTCTGTGGGATGATTTGAAAGAAAGGTTTGCTGTTGTTGATGGACCAAAAATTCATCAACTAAAAGTGAATATCGCAAGAAGTGAGCAGAATGCGTCCATGACCATCGGAAATTACTACGGTCAGCTAAAGGTTTGGTGGGATGAACTTAACAATTACGAACCTTTGCTGACATGTAAGTGTGGTAAATGTACGTGCAAACTTGGTGAACAACATGCTAAACGAAGGGAAAACGAGAGGTTTCATCAGTTCATGATGGGGCTTTCCTCGGAATTGTATGGACAGTTGCGGTCAACGTTACTTTCTCAAGTACCTTTGCCCAATTTGAATAGAGCTTATCACCAGGTTGTTCAGGAAGAAAGGGTACGTACTACCGTACAACGAAAGGAAGAAAAACAAGATGTTATGAGCTTTGCAGCTAATACCCAGAACCGAAGTCCAAGGAAGGCAATACAAAATGACAAATCTGGTCTGGTGTGTACTCATTGTAAATTTCCGGGCCATGAGGTAACTGGCTGCTTTCAGCTCATCGGTTACCCCGAATGGTGGGGAGATCGTCCACGGGGTAATAGTAAGCATGCCGGGAAGGGAAAAACTTCTGCCGGAAGAGGGAATACATCTGTACAAGCACATGCAACGGCAACAACTGAGCAGTCTGGACAGATCACTCCAGATCAAAGGAATAACATTCAAACTCCTTCACTCGCGCTTCCGAGTTTTACCGCTGAACAGTGGAAAGCCTTGACAGCAGCATTCGGTAATACAAACTCACATACTGACCGTATGACAGGTAAATTTAATCCTTCTTTATGGATACTTGATACCGGAGCCACGAATCATGTCACCGGTAATATTGAATATTTAACAAATGTGTCCACTGTTCGAGATTGTCCAGTAAATCTGCCCAATGGTCAGAGTGTGATAGCGACAAAGGAGGGCACCGTAATTCTGTCTGATGCAATCTCTCTGACAAATGTTCTTTATGTGCCAAATTTGTGTTGTAATCTGATTTCGGTGTCTCAGCTTACGGATGATATGGAATGTTTTGTTCAATTTGTCACTAATATTTGTGTTATACAGGACCAACGCTCGAGGAGGCTGATTGGAATGGGTGAAAGGTGGAATGGACTGTACTACTTTAAGGAAGTTCCAAAACAATGTGTGGTCAATGGGATTGAAGTCTCCGCTGATTTATGGCACAAACGTATGGGACACCCTTCAGAGCATGTACTCAAAACAATTCCCTTTGTTAGAGATCGTGTTACTTCACCTTGTGATATTTGTTTTCGTGCTAAACAAACTCGTCATTCTTTTCCTTTAAGTGATAATAAAGCTTTAGCTATGTTCGATTTGGTTCATTTGGATTTGTGGGGGCCTTATCAAACTGTTTCTACTAGTGGTGCTAAAAGTTTTCTCACTATTGTTGATGATTTCTCCCGTGCCGTTTGGATTTATTTGTTGATGGACAAAAAGGAAGTGTATGCCCAATTCATGTCTTTTATTGCTATGGTGCAATGTCAATTTTCTAAGAAAATACAACGTGTCCGAAGTGATAATGGAACGGAGTTTTTTGGCCTTAAAAAATATTTTCATCACCATGGAATTATTTTTGAAACTTCTTGTGTGGGGACACCGCAACAAAATGGGAGGGTGGAACGTAAACACAGGCATATTTTAAATATTGCACGTGCTTTGCGTTTCCAAGGCAATTTACCTATACAATTCTGGGGAGAGTGCATATTAACTGCTGGATATTTGATTAATCGCACTCCCTCAAAAATATTGGATGGAAAAACTCCTTTTGAGATGTTGTATAATCAAGCTCCTCGTTATGATAATATACGGATTTTTGGTTGTTTATGCTATGCTCATAATCAACGGACCAAGGGTGATAAGTTTGCTTCCAGGAGTCGTAAATGTATATTTTTAGGCTACCCTTTTGGAAAAAAAGGTTGGAGATTGTTTGATCTAGAAACTTCAGAGATATTTATTTCACGTGATGTTAAGTTCTTTGAAAACATATTCCCCTTTTTCGACTCCAATGCACGATCTACACCAAATATTTCCTTGGATGATACTTTGCATATTCCCTCCACTGAAGTGTTTGAGTTGACCTATGATACTCCTCCTTACCCGGAAGCATTAAGTTCTACACCTCCTATTGCTTCTACAGTACCTGCTAGTGTTCAGCCGCCTACTTCAGAAGCCACCCATGCTGCGCCAGACTCACCACTAATTGAGGTTCCACTTCGACGCAGTGAACGAACCCATGCTAGGTTGGACAGTGATTTTCAGGAGCCGAGAAGTGGAGGCAGATGGAGGCCGCCATAGGAGTCGATTGTCGGCTGTGAGATTGGGTGATGGAGGAGCGATGGAGTAGCGAGGCTGCGATTGATGGTTCCCAGGAGAGCGTATGTGGACGGGAAAGAAGCGCAAATCTGGATGCGGAAGAATAGCGTAGATATATGGTCATGTTTTTGGAAAGTTAAAAACTGCTAATATTTTTGTCTATTAAAACCTTATATGTATTATTTGTGCCATTTATTCTATTAAGTTTTGAATATTATATATAAATCATGGCCCGTGATCAGGTTTAGGAGCCGGGTATAGTAAGCAACCGCTTGGGTTGATTTCTTAACAAGCCAACTCCAACTCCCACAATGGCTTGATTCATTTGCACGGCTAGTCTGTGTTTTAGGATGTTAAACAGACCAGAAGATTTCATTCCAATTAAAAACTCTGTAATACTCGCAAAATACTCCTCTATGCAATTTCAAATCTAGGATATTTTTACTTGGACTGATTTAAATCCCAAATCAAACCAGACTTAAACAAATCACACCAGAGCAGACCAAATTAGACTTAAACATATCAAACTTTGATAGTTACTACCTCCGTCCCATTTTATGTGTCTCATTTGTGTTTGGCACACCTATTAATAAAGTGGTTGAAAAAATAAAAGTTGTGATTGAGATTTGAGTATAATAAAGTAAAATGTTGTGGACCAAAAAAGGAAAGGTGACACTTATTATGAGACAACCCAAAAGGGAAAGTAAGACAGTTAAAATAGGATGCAAGGAGTATAAAATACACATAGACCAAACCAAACCAAAGTAGATCAAACCATATAATTTTAGTCCAATTAAAAACACATTCAATATTCATTTATTATTCATGCCCATAATGAGTATATATGAATGTGCCAATTCATTATAAAGCATGCAAAATATAGATCTGAACTGCAAAATATCCAAACCTTCCGGCAATTTTAATCGTTCTCTCTCCAGTGGGTGTCTGAAACTGTGACTGCTCCACAGGTAACAAAATTGTGATGTTTGGGATCCTAACACCTGAATTTCCAGAGCAAGAAAAGATAAATTTAAAACTTATATGGTGAAATTATTATAACAACCATCACAAAGTTATATAATAAACGAAATATTTATTTAAAAAATAAAATGCATAGTAACAAAAAAGAAGGGTATGTTTGTAATAGCAAATATAGGTGTCTTGTAATTATGAAGATATCAAGAGGGTGAATGAGCATGCGGACAAAACAAGGCAGTTATTATACATTTATACCATATTACCATGCAACGATATGAATAATAGGTTGTTCACAGGAAAAACTACTTTTGTTCGCATCGATGTCATATTGGTGCCATCGCCTCCTTAACCCCAACCATGTTCGGTTCAGTAGCATGAAATATATAGAGTCAATTAACTATTTAAAACTAGTTTAACACTAAATATTGCACACACAAAACACACAACCTTCTGAAAATCAATAATACAGTGCACAGCTAACACCTTAGTTTTTAAATAATATTACTACGTTTCTGAACTCTGATATGATACTCCTTGGTCAGAACTAAAAATATTTTCTGATCTCAGTCTATCAACTATTTTTTCTAAAGTTGGTAATAATCAACTAACACACAAAAAGCTTAAAATGAAGAGTAAAGTCGGGATAAAAGTTAACGGTTAAACCTATCATAAAGAACAGTAAGAATTTGATCCAATACAAGATATAACAGGAAAAGAATATAGTACTACCAGCAGCCAGGCGACGCTTGAGGCCTCTTAAAACTGTCAAAATATAAACCTGGAAACATTTCGAAAAACAAATTTCAGTCAAATCTTTAACAGTTTAGTGAACAAGTGAACAACTTTATTTTGGCATCTAAAGTACACTGGCAGAATTTGTGACTTTTGGGGTGCTGCTCTACTGCATTACGCCATTTTAAGTTCCTTATTGAACAGGCAGAGAGAAGGACAGCATTAGAGCACCAATTACGGTGTTGCTGTTTGATCAAGAGGTCACGGGTTCAAGTCTAGGGAGCAGCCTCTTGTCCAAATGACAATGGAAGGTTTACTCCCTATACACCCTTGTGGTGGGACCCTTCCCCGGACCCTCGCCTTGCGGGGGTGCCATTGTGCACCAGGATGCCCCCTTTGTATTGAATAGGCAGAGGGTATTGCATTACTTAGACTTAACTATTGGAACTACCCAACCTCGTACATAAAAAGGAACAATGAACAAATTGAGGAAATGGGAAAATGTGAGCACCAACAGAGAATGAAGGAAAATATGGGCATGGAGATTTTTAATGCCAAAAGTTGCAGTTATTATTTTTTAGAAAGGTTAGAGTAATTATACCCTAACTTATAAGTATTATACCAATCTCACATTAGGTTTATTTTTTTTACTTTGCCACATTTGGTATATTATTCCTTACCCACTCGTGGTCCTTCTAGATCGAGTGCCTCGAAGGCAATCTTAAGCACCGGATGTTCAATCGGAAGGACAACTACGAGTGGAAAAGAAATAATAGTTATTTACTAAATGTGGGAAAAGAGTCAAAGACATTGACCTAAGTGAGATTGGTATAATACTCAAATGACTAAAAGTGGTTTTTTTCGATCGAAATGCAACATCCAAGCCTTAGTTCCAAAAGATTTTGGGATCAGCTAACATGAATCGACATATGAAATCGGAGTTAAAAAGATAAAAAGAGATTAATCCTCCACATGTATACTCTCCCTCCACGTCTGTTTGGGTCCTCTCTCTCCTCCTTGTCTCTTCTCCCAACCTCTCAGTTCATCTAAGAGACGCATCGCTCGATCTTCTACACATATGGCCAAACCGAGACTCACACATCTTACCTTCAATAAGTGTTACTCCCACCTTTTGTCTAATTCTCCCACTTCTCAAGCGATATTTTCTAGTATATCCACACATCCAATGCAACATATGCATCTCAGCCACACTCATCTTTTGAGTGTGACATTGCTCACCGCCCAAAACTCTACGTCATACAATAATGCAGACCTAATCGTTGTCCAATAAAACTTGACCCATCCAATTAGCATAATAGCACCTCTTTCATTTTCATATCAGGGTCTAAAAGACAACTGTTCTAAGTAAAACATACTTCCTCCGTCCCGCTAAGGTTGTATCATTTTCTCTTTTCGGACCATCCCACTAAGATTGTCTCATACAAAATTTGGTAATGTTTGTGTGGTTCTAAATCGTTATTACTTTATTCTTTTTATCAATGCAATACCAAACACATAAATTAGCTTTTCTTAATAACCGCATTACATCCCCATGTACCAAACTTGGGAGGACGAAGGTAGTATTACACAACAAAACTGTGATACAACCTGGCCCTACTACAAACTCTACACATTTGGGAACCTTTGCACCAAACCTTCTCTTATGCAAACCTTCTCTTATGCAGCAAAATATTGTTCATGTAAAAACTTACCTCAACTGTGTGAATCTGCAAATCCTTCACGTTAACAACAATTGGGCTACCCTTAAGACAAGCCAAAGGAATCAATCCAAGTGAAGAAGCTTCCTAAAAGACACATGAAAAAAAATCAAGTGAAGAAGCTTCATAAAAGACTAACAAGAAAGATAAGTGTGTTGATCTTAATGCCTTAAAAGGCTAGCCTACAAACCTCGATCAACTGAAATGCACGGGGATCATATTCCCCAAAACCATCAATCAATGAGCATAAGTTTGAACTTTTTGAGTCATTAAAAGTAAATACATGATCCTCAACTAGTCTTGCTTTAAAGCATGTATTACGAGGAAGCTGTAAGCAACCCAAAACTTGTGAAAGCTCCTTCACTGTGGGTGTCACACCAGCTGCAATTATTTCTCGGTACATCATCAAGGCTAGTGATGTCCTGTAGACCAATCATCTACAATCAGTGGCTGTATTGGAATATGATACATACACCAAACCCTGGATAGTTTATTTTAGAAGGAAGAAAAGAAATCAATTAGCAGGAACATAATTGAACATAACTCATATTGATATGCGCTTTGATTGATACTGGATCTAAATATACTTGGTAATATACTACTAAAGACTTTCCACGAGAAGGGAAGGCATCACTTCTACAGTTTTACATTCAGAATAATAGCAAGAACTTCTTGCTGGAGGCTGTCTATACGAAATCCTTGTTGTTCGTTCACATCCTAATCAATTTCAGTGTCCATTAATTTATATTATTCTACACTCCTGCCTCTTAACTCCACCAAATTGGTCCGACGTGCTAGTAGAATATGCCATTAACTTGCATCGTGAATGTCTACTTGCTTCGGGTCAAAGTCACCCAACAATTTGCCAGTGCAGCTATTGTGTAACAGAAAACTAAAATCAACGGGGTAAACCGTTGCCCAGATAATCAACGATAAAAATATCGTTGCCCAGAGCCCAAAGACTAAAACCAATTTTATTCCAATATAATAAGAATGAACCCTGGCGAGGGGTATAAATGGCCTTCTACAAGAAACCCTAATCAAGCCCAAATTAATTAAATCATAATTAAGCCCATAATAACTCTACTAAGTACTCTACTAATAATAGGCCCAAAGTAAAACATAATATTAACTTAATAATAATAAATAAACTCTAATGACAGCCCTAACCCGACCCATGGAAGTGGGCCCAAGCCCGGTCCCGCCCCATGCTCTTCCCGCTCTCTATCAATTCATCCTCCTTCAAAATAACCTTGTCCTCAAGGTTGAAATCTGGAAACCGGCTCATATTTGTCCCCGGGGGCTGGCCAATATCTTTAGGAAAAATTGAGATGTACTCCTCCCCAGTCCCTTTTTGCTTGCCTCTGGGCAGCCGTTTAAAGCGATTGCCCTTAAAACGTGAGTCAAAACGAGCCACCAATGCCTGTGTAAGCTCATCCCATGACATGACCGACTTTCGTGCCCGTAACCAGGTCAAGCAATATAAAGCTGGCCCTTCCATCGCGACTACAACGGCTGCCACCTTTCCCGGCGGAGTACAGTTCAATTCGAACTGTTGCTCAGGCGGCTCAGCCCTTTCAACCCAGCTGATCAGTTCTTCTCCGTTAAACGAGGGCAACATCATGTGAAAGGTGCTGCACAGTCCAATTCCGAACGAGGATGCTGCTGCCGCGTCAAGTGAAGCCACCGCCGTTGAATGCTCCTCCACCGCTGGCGGCGCGAGAGCCTCTGTAAACGCAGCCAAGGAGGAAGTGACGCCGCACGGCTGTTGGTCGTTGTTGTGCGCAGATACGGTGGGGCTGCCAACCGTGTCCAGGCTTGTTTCCGTCATGACCGGAGGAATTAGCGCCTTGGTTAGCGTTGCCAGGGATGCAGCAATCTCTGCCAGAAGCATGTCGTGCTCCTCTAAGGTTTGATTCATCCGAGTTTGCTTGGCGACCATCTCTGTCCAGCGGTCGATCTGAGATCTCATCATCCTGGCGGGACGAGATCCGGCAGGTCGGACCAATTGTTGTGTAATAGAAAACTAAAATCAACGGGGTAAACCGTTGCCCAGATAATCAACGATAAAAATACCGTTGCCCAGAGCCAAAAGGCTAAAACCAATTTTATTCCAAGATAATAAGAATGAACCCTGGCGAGGGGTATAAATAGCCTTCTACAAGAAACCCTAATCAAGCCCAAATTAATTAAATCCTAATTAAGCCCATAATAACTCTACTAAGTACTCTACTAATAGGCCCAAAGTAAAACATAATATTAACTTAATAATAATAAATAAACTTTAATGACAGCCCTAACCCGGCCCACGGAAGTGGGCCCAAGCCCGGTCCCGCTTCCCGCTCTCTATCAGCAGCGGAGTCCTTTGCCAAACCGAATGAGATGGTTACACAGGTGTTGAAAAGCATAGGGCACACTGAGTCTGGCACTGTAACAAAGGCTAATGCAGACAGTGAGTCACCGACAGATAAACCTGACATCTTCAACACCTTTACAACTTCAGATGTACATCTAATCAATGTCAAACAAATTGAGATACAAAGCTTCAGGAGAACAGATCCGGTAGCACGGGAAGAACAGTTTTTCGCAATACAACAGAGAAGGGAGGAATTGAAAGTAGCAAATCTCATCAGAAAACTTCCTATACATATTATAGTTCCACATTCTAGGATTCTAGCACATAGACTCCAAAACATTCCTCCTTTTTCTCTTTGACTTATGTGTAACGTACACAGCAAATGGAATGTAGGTTCAGATATGCTAAGTGAAAAGGAGAGAGCGTAGGGGGGGGGGGGGGACTTTTTGGCATGCTTCAAGTCCAATTCCAAAACATAAACTTGATGGTGATTACGTACAGCTTTGGTGGTCAATCAATTTAAGTTAAGAGTTGGAGCTCTGCTTCGCTAAAAGCCCCAATTTGCAGGTTCAGATCCTACCAAGGGGAAGGTAAGAATTCAGTTCGTTCAATGCATTAGTGTAAAAACATGCTTGGGAAACATGGGAGTCACCTATAGCAGCTAGGATCCTGCTGAAGTCCCATATCGCTATTTACCCTTCTACCATAACTATATTGAACGGGTCGGGGTTCAAAATTGTAGTTAAGTGTTTCATTGATGATGCTTTTAGGCATGCTTAGTATAACTTCAAAGCACTAGCAGCTGGTGGTAGTGATTATTGTTGTTACTGTTATATTTATATATTAGTGTTAATAGTTAATACTACTCACTCCGTCCCAGAAAATTCTTCCCACTTTGACTTGGCACGGAGATTAAGAAAGTGGAATAAAGTGGAAATGTGTGGTTGTAGTTGTGTAAGAAAAAGGTGAAATGAATGTGAACCACACAAATTGTCCAAAAATGATAAGTGGGAAGAATTTTTTGGGACGGCCCAAAAAGGAAAGTGGGAAGAATTTTATGGGACGGAGGGAGTATTATTATTATCACCATTATGATTATTGTTACTAGTGCTAGTGTTACAATTAATATCGTTTTTTTGCAACTGTGCTGGAGAAGGAACAAAAAATTAATTCCTGTTTTAATCCTTCAAATATTGTTTTTTTACATTTGATCATTCAGTTTAACACGGGCAAACTTTGTCAGTTGCCTATTAAATGAAAATATAAAAAATGTCTCTCTTAGTCCTGAAAATGTCACTTACAGTCCTTCAAAGGACTAAAAGTAGTTCAGTTTCTATAGTAGGTGAATGAATCTTATCAGTTTTAAATTCGATAATCAAACGTAAGAAACACAATAGTTGGGTGCATAAAAGCTGGAATTAACTTGAATAAAAATGCAGACTACCGATATCGAGGACCAATTATCAAAGGTAGCAAACAGTTATCACATTGAATATGCATTTCTTTCTAGACTTCCGCAAATAGATATGAAAAGATAATTGAAATTCAGTGTATTATAGTTTCCGTACCTACACCACCATAGTACCGTGTCATTTTTACTATTCATAATTTTTGTCCTCAACATTGATACAACAACAACATCCAAGCCTTTGTCCTCAACATTGATCTTTCCATATTTATTCCTCAAATTTCCAAAACATTCAAATTTTAATGAAAATCACAGTATGCCATCAAACATAGTAGAACCAAGTTTTATTAAATATTCACAAAATGAGATCAATTTATTTAAACATTATGGGCTAAAGTGGTACATTTGTTTAAAGTTAAAGACTAAAAGTGGAAGAAACCAAAGTTAATGACAGTAGAAAGTGAAAATCTAACTGTAAGCGAAGAGCCGCAGGTGGAATAACCTCATTGAGAGTTGAAGTGAAATGCATACCATTTGTTGTTAAGTTGTATCTGCACGGAGTTGTAAGACAATACCGGCTCACCAAGTGTACAAGCCTTCTGAAACCTTCTTAAGCACATGCCTTCATCAAGAGCAACTTGGTTAGTCAAATGCATGTCTAAAATATTGTGATATCTCCAACTGATTTTGCAGGGATAGAATCACTAAACAGGCATCTTCGGCAACAATTACAAACAAGAGAATTTGGAGGCCCTAAATACATTCTTGAGAATGAAGCTGATGAATCTAAGGAAGGCCTTTTTCTACACCACCAAAAATATATTTACTATAAGTTGCAAGGACCTCGTCTGATAGACTCCATGAATGATCCTAATGTGGAACTCTCAGAAGTAGATGGCCCATTATGCCACCACCTACACGGTCACAGAAAACTAACAGAGAAGCTCAATGTTAGGTTATCGGTAATTCAACAGTAATTCTGAGCTCAAAAATGGCGATGAAGATCAAAAACAAAAGTTCATTGTTTAACCGAGAGACAAGAATACAATTCCCAAGTCGTTTCCGACTCCCAGTCCCGAGTCCCAAGCCCGATAATTCCAACCACCCCCTTTCTTCTATTCCCAGCCTACCTTATTTATTATTCATTCACTCATGGGCCAGCCCACCTCCACTTAGTTATAAGGCCTACACCCCTTTTATTACAAAATATTAAGACTTAATGATATTCTTAGGTCTCTATCATCACTCCCCCTTTGACAAACACCTTGTCCTCAAGGTGGGAAGTGACTGAGTAAGAAATAGCTATGCCATTATGCTTTATCCTCGCTCCTCTGCCTTCCCAGTACTTCAGCTCGTATAGTTTTCTTCGTTTTGATCTCCATTCAATCTCTGTGTCCACATAGTGATCCTTTTGGCCACAGTTGTTATCTCCATCCCTTCCCAAAGTTTGATCTCGTACAGAATCTACCATGAAGAACACATAATCATCTTCGGGACTGTAAGTCTCAGTTTTCGAATCAGCACCTGAGGAAGGTAAGATAGAACTCAGTACACAGCCTCCCGACCTACTCCATGTGCCTAAGACTTCTCCCAGCCTCTGCCTCTCCAGTTGTATCAACATCTTCCCAGGAACAAACTTGATCCTTTCATATTCTATGGAGGCCAGGGCACAACATGCTGCCTCATAGAGAGCAACAACAACCCGCTTACCAAAATTTTCCTCATTCTTCTCAACTGTTTGCTCAATCAACCTCTTTAACCTTTCCACAGCTTGATTCATAAAGTCCAGGTCTAGTTGGATTGTATTACACTGGTATTCGAGAGTGAACCTATCAGCAATTTCTGTGAACCCTTCCTTCTTCCATGGATTGGCTGTCTCCTTTTCCATCTCCGTTTCAATCATTGCAGATTTGAGCAAGCAGAATTCTTCTTCATTTGCTTGAATCTTTGCAGTGATAGATTTGAGAGGAACTTGGTGTCTGCTTAGATGGGCATCTCCCTGAAGCTTCCTGACTCTTCCATTTTCCCTCCACTTAATAGTGAGCTGGTTGAAATTAAATTCAACAGTTCCCAATCCAGATAACCATTCTAATCCCAAAACCATCTCTATTTCTCCCAATTCTAAGACATAGAAGTCTTGAATGATGTTAGTCTGTTGTATGTTAATAGAAACAGCTTCACATCTCCCATTATTTCTGATTAGGTCCCCATTTCCTATTTCCCTTTTATATTCTGGGAGCTGGTGGACAGATACTCCTGCTGTTTGAGCTACCCTTTGAGATATAAAATTGTGAGTAGCCCCACAATCAATTAGAATGATAATATCTTTAGTCCTTCTGCCACTTGTTAATTTCCCTTTCACTCTGAAAGTCTTAGGGGCTGTGATTCCTTCTTTGTTCATGGAAGACAGCTGCATATTAGAGGTGCCTGCTTCTTCCCACTTTGGACTAATTGCCATTGTACCAGGTCTCTTTTTACCAATGCATGAATTTTCTGGCCATTGGATAATCTCTCCTTGCTCCTCGGTTTCGTCCTTCTTATTCAGTTTCTTGATTACAGATTCCGTTGGCTCCATCTCAGTTTTATTTATTGACTGGGGCAATTCTTTCGCAGGTTGAGAAACTTGTGGACTCATCAATCCTGATAGTGAAGAATCTGGTGATTGCGAGTTGGGGTTTTCTACTTGCAACCATTTTTTAGAATGGTAATGCGAAGAGCTATGAGAAGAACGATGCGAAGAGATATGCGAAGACCTCGATGACTCTGGTTTTGCTGTCTTCTGCCGGTGTCTAGGTGGAAAATCCCTAATCAAATCTTCTTTTAAAGCCTCCCAACTATCTTCTCTCTTTTGAAAGTTCCACCATTGAAACCAGCCATCTGCAGCTTCCCCCATTGCCTTTGCTGCAATGTCTACTTTAAATCTTTCTGCAATAGCTTGGACTCGGAAATATCTTTCCATCCTCCCTATCCATGCGTACGCTTCAACCTTGTGGAATAGAGGTAATTCCTCTGTCTTTGACCTAGCTCCGACTTCATCGCGAGTCTTCCACCCATCATCGCTAGTCTTCCGCGCTTCATCGCGATTCTTCCCCACCTTCTCGCTGTTTCGTTCCAATTTGCGCAAACCAGATGCGGACAGTTCTGACCATCGATGTTCTTCGCGTAAACCATAGCGCTTCTCCATGGTTCCAGACGTCGATTGCTCTGAAGAAGACAAAGAAGATTCACTACTGTCCAGTCTCTTGCTTCGCTTTGTTGTTTTGGACCTTCCGCGTGACTCGCCTCGCTGCGATATGAATTCGCGCAACTCATCGCGAGTTCGCTGAGCTACTTTGCGCATCTCCTCGCGCATGCGCGACGTCTCTGTGCGGCTATTCTCCAGCTCACGTTCCACATTCTCCAATCGCGCTTCCATCGTTCGTCTTGTGGTGACCATGTACAGGTAAAAGATCGTTGCTCTGATACCAATGTTAGGTTATCGGTAATTCAACAGTAATTCTGAGCTCAAAAATGGCGATGAAGATCAAAAACAAAAGTTCATTGTTTAACCGAGAGACAAGAATACAATTCCCAAGTCATTTCCGACTCCCAGTCCCGAGTCCCAAGCCCGATAATTCCAACCACCCCCTTTCTTCTATTCCCAGCCTACCTTATTTATTCATTCACTCATGGGCCAGCCCACCTCCACTTAGTTATAAGGCCTACACCCCTTTTATTACAAAATATTAAGACTTAATAATATTCTTAGGTCTCTATCACTCAAATATCTAAGTCTTACTAGAGAAGGACGGCATTTACCATATTGTTAATCATTCCATGAGAATACCCTATATTCCACGTGAAAAAGAAGTCAAAGGATTCCGAAGGAACATGAAAAGCATTTGGTGCAACATTGTTCCAATGTGCCATAATGATGGATATGGTGGTGGTCTTGTGTGAGACCGCTCATAGATCTCATTTCGTAAGACAGATATAGATCTTGTCTGACATGTAACGCGCCAATCCTGATTTCTTACATCTTCCATTTGTCCCCACTGTGAGATAGCCGAGTAACGACAATAACTAACTTTTCAAGGTAATTAAGGACAGTTTTGTCGGTGAAAAATGCTTCCACAATCTCACTCAAATAACTCGCATTAAAAACTGCAAAATCAATGACTCTTTTTTACCAAAATCAAATTAAGCTGAAGGCGCAAGTCATTAAATGAAATTTAAGCTTTCTTAATTGACAAAAATTGTTCGTCTTCTAGGAGAAGACTCCATTTAAAAATAAAAAAATCATGTTAGTAGATCAAATAACAACTTTTTTCAATAAAAATATTATTGTTCGTTGAAAATGTGATACTTTAAAGGTTATACTTTTTCAATGGTTACTCTATTTTACATAACGTATCACTTTCAATTAAAAAACATACTTTAAGAAGTGTAACAAAGTGATATTTTTAATGAAACATAATATTGTTTTTGTTACACGAACTCAATTACATAAACATAAGTCACCACTAAGCCTTCAAATTCAAACAATATATAACCACATCTAAGCCTTATTCCCAAATGATTTTTGGGTAGGCTAAATTAAAACAACATACATGGATAAATTTAAAGCAGCAAAAGAATCAAACAATATACATACAAAACCCTATATAGAGGAATAACAATATATACACATTAAGTGTAGAGATAAAATCCCGATGAAAAGAGATCAAAACGAAGATCTCTAGACCTTAGGGCCTCAGTTGAGCAATACCTCATTGGCAAACATAAGTACATAACACTTATTTTAATTAAAGTAATACAACAACAACAACAAAAACCCCCAAGCCTTAGTCCCAAAAGTTTTGGGGTCAGCTAACATGAATTGATACATGATATCAGAGCCAAAAGGAAAAAATTGATAAGAAAGATAAAAACATAAGGTGTAATAAAAAGATTTAAAAAAGATAGATAAAGATAAATATAAGTTTTCCATCATTTGCAATGGAGCCAAAGATTCACTATTTTTTTGGCTTGAGATTATGATGGAATAAAGTAAAATGTCTCACTAAATTGTTTGCGCTTCTTTGTTATGAAGCAGCGGTCAGTCCCTGCAATTTTAGACGCGATTTTCACTATGGGTCATCCGGAAACAGTCTCTCTGTGCTTTAGTAAAGGGGTAAGACTAAGTAAAGGGGTAAGACTGCGTACATCCGACCCCCCTACCCCACCGTAGGTGGGAGCCTTAGCGACACTGGGGTAAATGAAAATGAAAATGAAAAGATAAATATAAGGTAAAGATAAAAATGATAAGATAAAAAGAATAAAAAGAACATATATAAAATAAAAAGGATAAAACGATGAACAAAAAAAGAAAGATAAAGATAAAAAGATGAAAAGAGATCAAGCTCCACACAAATATCCACCTGATAGGTGTGAAAACACCTAATACTTTCTCATAAAATTTCGTCTTTGTTTGTCAACTTTTGATGATTTTCCTCCCATTTTGGTTTTACTTGTACAATATTTTGGTTATAGGAACCACATGGAGTATTTGACCATTGTAGGGGTGAAAACTGAGCATTTTGAAGAGTCTCAAAAGCATAAATGAATGATGTGAAGACTATGGGAACGAAGCGGAGCACAAAG